GTGTTCGGCTCGTTCGTTAAGAAACGAACACGAGCTTATTTCAAACAAACTAAATTTTAAACGAACCGAACACGAACACAAGCTTTGTTCGTTCGTGTTCGGTTCGTTTACACCCCTACCTGTCTGGCCTTTATCAGTGGGCGCACTGTTGAACTGAATTTAATGTACAAATAACTCCATATAGTCTTACAGAAATAGCTCAAAAACTTCTCATTTCTGACATATTTGACCTCCCTTAGAAGGTAGGCTATATATTTGAAAGTTTTGAAAATTTCTTATCTTGAGTTGTCATGTGTATGGTATCGGATTCTCGAACTCACGACCCTCTTGGACAACCAATGTTACTCCTGTTGGAGTCTCTTTCATGGGCTCAGCTTGAATGACGTGCATCTCTCCTTCATCAGTTGGAAGTTGTTACTCCTCCTGTGAGTCCTCACATTCTTTAGTGAATAACGTATCCTCATCCATTTCTTCAACTGCTCCTTGCTCAATGAGGCAATTTGATGCATTATGTCCAAAATCATGGCATTTGACGCACTTTCTGGCTGAGACAAATTTAAGAATGCTTGTTGGCTCCATATGTTCTCCATTCTCAATTAATTCCTCCTCAAATGAGGTCGGCTAGTATGTTCAACTGGGTGTACTCTTGCTACTTGATCACGGGATTGAATTCTGTCTGTAAGATGTGACGATCATCCGGTGATGTTATTTCAAACTGGTAGATACTTGCGTTGCATCTCTCGTTTCATCTTGAATTAGGTAGTATTTTTGTTTTTCACTTTCTGCTGATGTAGGTGCTTCGAATCTTCCCACCACAACGCACTCTTCTTTAACTTGTTGGCTAGTAGCTTTACCATTATATATGGTGGATTATCCTTGTATTCAAAGATATGTTCTAATGCCTAGAGCCACTTGATTAACTCATATGAATCTATGTGGCTGGCAAAATATGACGAGTCACCTTACACTCCAAAATTTTGCTTCTCCTTTGACATTCCATGTCAAAACTCTAGGATATTGGTTCTTCATCACAGAGAACTACTCTCTGGAAGAAATTCACTTCATTCTTTTGATACGACGAATCGTCATTGTGGCTACGGATGACCCTCTTGGATCGTCTTCTTTTGAAGGCAGCAAGCATATTTTGTAGTTAAAGGATTTTCTATTGCATATTTTTATAGCAAGTTTTTAGACATCTCTTTGTAGATTTGTTGAATCTTCTCTCGCCTTTCGACTATGCTTTCCCCTCTTCAGCCCTAATCTTCTCACGGAGTGCTCCCGCATTTCTTCCAATCTCGGAGCTTTCTTCAAAATGACCCGCTCTCACATTCTTTTGCTCTAACCCTCCCTCTCACATTATTTCGAGACTTATGTGCTTTTTCCTACGATATTATCTATCCCTTCAGCCCACATCTCCTGTCTTTGTGAGTTTGGTTGTTAGTTTTTCTGAGAGTTACAAAAATTTGTTGGTAGTTGGTCATTTTGTGCATTTGATTTATGTTTTTATTCATTATATATGAGGGTATTGATTGTTGGTGATGGTGGTTTTGGTTGTTGTTCTTTTGTTTCATTATTTTGAGATGCAGAGGATGAGATGTGGCTTTCGACTGTTGTGGTTTGAGTATTATACATGTGGCAGTTTGCTATGGTTTGAGTATTATACATATCAATTGGGTGGTCTGCATGCACATCTTAAAAAAAAAAGGGAAAAAATTGCATAGTGATGCTTGACGGAATTCTTTAAGGGGGTTCATGTATATAAATGCCCCTTAAAGGCTAGTGAAGGTGATTTTTTGATGTGCATATTTGAATATTACACATTGTCCATTCGAGATTCCTTATCAACTTTCTTAAAAGGTAGACAATATAATGTTCAAGTCAGTTTAAGTTCATGTCATAACCCAACTAAATTGTAGCAATAGATAGACATAGCTCCATGTGGGTTATTGTGAAAGTATTTTATGTTATATGTCTATATATGAAAGTACTGAAATTTCTAAGTTAATGTAAAAGTATTATGTGGCTACTTGATTTTGAAGGAAGTCATTTTCTGTTACCGAAGTGAAGTTTGAGTATTTTTATTTAATACATTCAATTTTTATTCATATTTCACCTTCAAATTGTGTTGATTAAAGTACTATTGTTCATTCTATTTTATTAAATATGGATGGTGGTTGGACTGAGGTATGTGTGCTCGTCTTTACTGTTGGGTGTTTGGTGCTGGTGCTTGAGTGTTGGTGATGGTGGCTGGACCGGGGTGTGTGTGCTTGGGTGTTGGTGATAATGGTTGGACTGGGGTTTGTGTGCCTCTCTCTACTGTTGGGTGTGTGGTGTCAGTGCTTGGGTGTTGGTGATGGTGGCAAGAAATGGGGTGTGTGTCTCTCTCTCCACTGTTGGTTGTTTTCACAATTTTGTTTTTCCCTTGTTTACATGTTTTAGCTTTTACCTTTTTTAGGTTAGGTATTTGCTTTTCTTAGCGCTTTCTTTTTTTTCATGTTCTTTGCTTTACTGTCATTGTTAGTGTGTTTTTTGATCATTTTCATTTATTTGTTCCATTATGGTTAAGACCAATGAAAGTGGCTTCGTCAGCAATGTTGGATAAGTAAAAAAACATATTTTGCAACCTATTTATTAAGGAGATTGAGCTTGGAAATAAACTCACCAAGTACTTTAACAAGAAAGGGTGGCAGAATATTGTGACGAGGTTCCAGGAAATGACAGGAAGAGAGTATGATGGGCTAAAATTTAAGACCAAGTAGGATCAGTTAAATAAGGACTTTTAGTTAAGTGTTGCCGATATGAGAATGATTAGGTGGATGAGTGGCTTTACACTTAGAGACAAAATGCGAAATGAATATATTCGTGATAGGGTTGGTGTAGCTCTTGTGACGGACAAAATTAGAGAAAGTCGTCTTAGATGGTTTGGTCACATTAAACAACAATCATTTGATGATCTGATTAGGAGAGCAGATGTTTTAGATTTGACTTGTGTTAAGAAAGGCAGAGGTAGACCTAGGAAGACTTGGGCTTATTGTATTAAAAATGATCTTAACTTACTAGAACTAAATGAAAATATGGCTCTAAATAGGACGCAATGGAGAAAAAGGATTCACGTAGCCGACCCCACGTAGTGGGATTAAGGCTTTGTTGTTGTTGTATCTATGTTATTTTGTTTTAACTAATATGCTTCCCCGAACATTGCAGGCAGTGACAACCGCAAATAATTTCAAGGTGAGTGGAATTGAGTTGAACCTGGAAGAGAAGTTGGACTTCATGTTTAGAGGGGTTGCCACGATGGGCATTCACGCGTTCAACCCAAGTGAGCAGAGTTTTGCAGGCATACCAGTTAACTTGGCAGCCGAGTAGGTTACTGGGTCAGGTGAAGGCCCGAACATATAAACTTGAGGGAGCTTGAGTCCACTTGCCAATCAAAACGACGCAAGGTGATGAAAAAGAAAAATGAGAAAGACGCTTTTGTCAGAAGCTCAATAAATAAGCTGATAGAAGTATGTGCAATTCGACCTGGTCCTTCAAATGACACCATCATAGACGACTTTCTTGGAGTTTTAGATGCACATCCTGAACTTTTGGCTAATACAATATTCTATCTAAACTCTATTAAGTTACTTGAGGACCCGACCCGCAGACAGATATTCATGAAGTTGCGCCCCGACTTCATATTCACATTTTTCTTTGGAAAAATGATTCTATGATGACACTGTCTGATGACATTTTTTTCCGCTGTTAATTTGTTTGATTTTTCATTCTTTGTTGCAAACAATAATATGTCGCCATGTAATTATTTCTAATATGGAGCAGTTACTATTCAATTTTTTATATTTTTTTGTGGGTTCATGAGGTCCATGATGAGACATATGACTTTATGGGTTCTTCTGGATGGTTGGTTTGTCGTTGTTACATGTGAAATCCTAATGAAAACAACCTAGATCTTCTCTTCTTTTTGGTGCATCGGTTTATGATGACCTACTGGATGATCTTTTTTGGTGATATGAACATGTGGCACAGGACGTTTGTTTCTCGTTAGCGTTGCATGTGAAATCTTGATGAAGGCAATCGAGATCCTCTCTTCTTTTCGATGCATCGGTTTATGAGGTCTTATTGGATGGCTTTTTTTGGTGATATGCACATGTGACACACAACGTTAGTTTCATCTGTGTTAAAGGCAACCGAGAACTCATTTTTTATAGGGTCCATTATCTTCATGTAGTGACAGATTTGTTGGTTTGTGTAGTTAGCTCTCTGAGACCTCACGCATGCATTTTTTTTCCAATTTATGCTTTTTTATTCGATAATGTTTTCGATAACATTTTCTTTTACATTTTTTTATTTAGTTTAATTTTCTGAGTCGACTAATGTCTCTCCTTCATCTTTCAAGGAACATGATTTTTAAGATTTCAGAGACCCCCCCTCCCGTGACTTGCGATATGTCATTGTGGACTACAGACTTCTTTGTTGACGTCACGACGAGCACACAATTATGAGAGAAAGTTTTACAGTTGCCCGCAGAGCATCACAGAGATGTATGCTTTCTTCCGGTGGGCAGACAGTCCGCCAAACTCCACCGCTAATAGTGATTGAGGTTCGATGGTATCTCTGGAGGACGGTATATCTCATGGCATACGCCGTCTCGATTTTAAAATTAATATTATCATAATTTTAATCGTAATTTTAATATTTTTTTGTCAATCTTGATACTCACTGTTAAGTATGGACTGTTTCATCTTTTCTCTTTATTGTTCTATATTAGTTTTTTGTTTATGCAGTATCAAATATATTATCAAAATAATTCTGCTACAAAGAACGTTATTTAACAGAGGCAGAATGATCATTCATTCACAAACAACTACAAATCAAATGTTTTCAAATAACTGCCCCAAACAGTTAGAGAGTTTATCCGAATAAATTGTTGATCATCAATTTATCAGAATAAACTATTAATGATTATTCAACAAGTTATTATCCCAAACAAACCCTAATGGCCCGTTTGGGGCAGCTTATTTGGTGTGGTGGTGTTTTAAAAACGCATTTAGTCTGTTTGGATAAATTGCATTTTTGCAACTTATGCATTTTCTAAACGCTGAAAACAAGATAAGTGCGGTGGCAACTTCTAGCAGCAGTCTGACTTATCCAAAAAAATAAAAAAAATTATAATAATTATCACATCTAGTTTATTAACAGATTATTTTTAATCAATTTATTAACAAAATATCCAATAAGCTGCATCCGCCCCAAATAGACCTTCAATCTCAAATACTAATAAATTGCCAGATACCCTACTAATTATACAGAAGTTAACTCCCCTTGACGCGTTCCTTGAAGGCTTAAACCTCCTCACTCCATGTACCTCCCAAGGAAGCAAATACTTTTTCGAAATCGTAATCTTCTATTGTCCTTAATTGAACATTTCCCATTTCAAATATTTACAAATGTACCACCTAATTCTTATATTTTTTTACAAAAATACAACCTAATTCTTATATTTTAACAAAACTAACTAAACTTAATATTTTACATGTATACCACCTTGAAAAAATATTTTTGGCTTAAACCTATATCTTTATACACTTATATCACCCAAATTTTTCATCACATCAAAATGTATCAATATTTACATTTTTTTTGTAAAAGTATATACATACATATATATATATATATATATATAACATATCTAGAACGACCATCAGGGAGATTCTTCTTGTTTGTTTCCTTTTGATGATCTTCTTTAAATAATTCTTTTCACATTGAGAATCTTCCTTTCTATCTTTGCTACTGAATAACTCTCACAACGTAATAACACATTCATATTTTCCATGAAAGAAGTCGAGACTCATTTTGAATGAAATTTGAGGCGCATGTTTTCATTTGAAATTGAAATAAGATCAATGACATGAATAAAAGCAAAACACAATAAGCAGTAGTTGGAGAACCAGGTCCATACGCAAGCCATAATTTAAATAAATCAGTCCCAATAACTGAGCGCTCTCGGAAGAAGAAACAGGGTGTGTCTCATCAGTTATTTTAAAACAAAATCTATCAGACTAACATAACATCAAGGTCTTCAATAAAATTTCAAAGATCCAAAATGAGCGATTTCCTCACGCCGAAGGAAGTATTTATGATTCATCCCCAAGCCAATTTTAGCATATTAGCCTAGGAAGTTCATGATCACCAAATGGAGGACAAGGTTGCAGAGAACAAAATCAGCAAAAGCACGCTCTGGAGGGAGGTCCTGCAAGTATTTTTAGATGCGTCTGAAGTCAGTCTCCATGAGCCACTGATAAATAGAATGTCAAAAATATTACATCCCACTTCAAAATTGAGTTCTATAAGTGCCCCTTTTGGGATGGTTACAGCCTTTTTTTTTTTTTTTGTAAATGTGATTGTACAAAAATGGTGGGAAAAGCTTCTTAAAAAGTTCAGGTGAGATTTATAAAAAATTACTTTTTTTTCTCAAAAAATATAATAGACAACAATTTTCTTAAATACAAGTTCTTAAAAAATGTGGAGTGCGAATTAAAGAAATTTAATTTTTTCAATACAGCGGCCACACGACGAATTTGGTTATAAAAACTAACTTCCCACAAAAAAAAAAAATTAAAAAAATCTAAAAAACAAAAATAAAGCATTTTCTCAAATAGAATTGTAGTGACGGTCTGAAATAAAACAAAGACAAAAAACAGTACCAAACAGACCCTAAGTGACTAAAGAAAAGCAAGATGGGTGTTGGTTGACATGAAGAAATAACTTAAATATTAAATTCTTTTTTTATTAAAAAACTAGTTAAATTATTATGCTTTATTTATTTCTCGAGTTGTTTCCAAATTAGACGGCCGCGCATTTTTCAAGTAGGAGGGATAATAACCAGCCACAATACAGGTCTTTTTCATGTTGTGTGTGGTTTATTAGTGTCGTGTTCATGTTCAGTAACCCAACCCAATTAATAAAATGGTTAGGTTTATGAAAAAGCAACGAGGTTAAATGCATACCTTAAATTCCTTGTTCTCTTTGTTAACCTGAATGCGAAGGCAGACTAGAATTTGACAATCAAGAACAACAGACCGCCATGAGAAATAAGGATTTGAAAACATCATTCAGATGAGAAAGAATACCATACCAGCAAGCACTGCAGTGCCCACACAAGAGAGTACACCCGAAAGGAAAGAGTTGAAAGGAAACGATCCAACTATTCCCATGTAAACCACCTGCGCTACAACAATAAGAAAATTAGGGATCTTTAGAAGAGCTTTTATAAAGTTTTTCGTTATACAGCAAGTAGGAAAAGTTACTTTGGCAATAATACTTTTACAGAATTATTTTTGAGAAACCTCGATTTTTCCTTCAGCAGCTTCTTCTATTTCCGAAAAACTTATTAAGACATGATTTTCAGAAAACAACTTTCAAACAAAATTTTATAACCAAAAACTTTGCCAAAAAGAGCCTACGAACACCCCCGCAAACAGATGAAGTAGTAGTTTAACTTAGGGGATTCAAATGCTTACATCTAATAAAATGGCAGCAAGAAATGTTTGCATGCTAGCAGAAAGCATTTTTTAGTGAACATATAGGACGGGCTTTCTCAAAGGAGGAGAATGTATGACCTTCAGACTAAAAAATTGAAGATATTCATGCAAACTGGTAGCATACTACATTTCAACAAATAACAAGCCTTTATCCCACTAAGTGGGGTTGGTTACATGAATCCTATTTCTCCATTGCATCCTATTGAGTGTCATATTTTTATTTAATTCTAATAAATTAAGATCATTTTTTATACAATAAGCCCAAATCTTTCTAGGTCTACCCCTTCCTTTCTTAATATAAGTCAAATCTAAAACATCTTCTCTCCTAACCGAATCATCAAATGGTCAGCGTTTGATATGATCAAACCAACTAAGATGACTCTCTCTAATTTTTTCCACCACTGGAGCTACACCAACCCTATCACAGATATACTCATCCACCTAAGCATTCTCATCTTGGCAACACTTAGTTTTATGCTTCACTTTTAAAGGCCCAACATTCAGTGTCATAGAGCATTGCAAGCCTCACCACAATCTTATAACATTTTCCTTTCAGTCTAAGCGATGCTTTGCTATCACACAATAGGCCCAAAAGATTCCTCCATTTCAACCAACCAACTTGAATTCCACTAATAACATCCCCAAGCATACAACATTCAAGAACATACAAAATCATTTAATCACACACCAAATTTCTCAAAGATTGATTCCAATTGAATGAGAATATAATTATAATTTCAAAGAAGAGAAGTTCAAATGGCCTGGAATTAAACTTACCAGTGATGATGAAATAAACTGTAAATTTTATGGTTTTAATTGATGAAATTCATGAATAAAACTAAATTGTTAAGAGGGCTTCTTTATATGTCATCAATCATCTTTGGCTTTTAACAAGTTCAAATGAAAATTAAACTATGATGAAATTCAATCTATAAATCGTTCCATGTTGATGTTGTGGATCACAATCAATAGCGCGATAAGAAGTTTTAATCCTATATAAAATAATAGATGCAAATATAAAATTAAATGGAGAATGGTGGAAGTTCCAGAGATAAAAATACATGTTTATATAAATACATCAATATGTATCACATTGGCTGGGAGCCAACCTGGATCACTCTCCAAAATAAAAATAAACCATCTGAATGGCTATTACAACGGAGTTAGCACACTTGCTTACTTAGCTACCACTATGTAGCATCAACCTAACCTTCCAAACTGGTAGCATACAACATTTCAACAAATTGAATTCTATTTCTCCATTGCATCCTATTGAGTGTCATATTTTCATTTAATTCTAATAAATTAAGATCATTTTTATAAAATAAGCGCAAGTCTTTCTAGGTCTACCTCTGCCTTTCTTAATATAAGTCAAATCTAAAACATCTACTCTCATAACCGAATCATCAAATGGTCAGCATTTAATGCGATCAAACCATCTAAGACAACCCTCTCTAATTTTTTCCACCACTGGAGCTACACCAAACCGATCACGGATATATTCATCCACCTAAGCATTCTCATCTTGGCAACACTTAGTTTTATGCTTCACTTTTAAAGGCCCAACATTCAGTGTCATAGAGCATTGCAGGCCTCACCACCATCTTATAAAATATTCCTTTCAGTCCAAGCGATGCTTTGCTATCACACAATAGGCCCAAAAGATTCCTCCACTTCAACCAACCAACTTGAATTCTACTAATAACATCCCCAAGCATACAACATTCAAGAACATACAAGATCATTTAATCATCACACCAAATTTCTCAAAAATTGATTCCAATTGAATGAGAATAAAATTATAATTTCAAAGAAAAGAAGTTCAAATGGCCTGGAATTAAACTTACCAGTGATTGATGAAATTAACTGTAAATTTAATGGTTTTAATGGATGAAATTCATGAATAAAACTAAATTGCTAAGAGGGCTTCTTTATATGTCATCAATCATCTTTGGCTTTTTAACAAGTTCAAATGAAAATTAAATTATGATGAAATTCAATCTATAAATAGTTCCATGTAGTGGATCACAATCAATAGCGCAATAAGGAGTTTTAATCCTATATAAAATAATAGATGCAAATATAAAATTAAATGGAGAATGCTGGAAATTCCAGAGATAAAAATACATGTTTATATAAATACATCAATATGTATCACATTGGCTGGGAGCCAACCTGGATCACTCTCCAAAATAAAAATAAACCATCTGAATGGCTATTACAACGGAATTAACGCACCTGCTTACTTAGCTACCACTATGTAACATCAACCTCACCTTCCAAAGTCGCTAATGGGATCAAAGAACCTAGCCACGTGTTTGGGTCTCAAGTAAAACAAATCGTTTAAAAAAATATGGAAAATCATTACAGTTGTACCATATTAATGGTCCCACATGTCAATCGTTAATGTCATTATAATTGAAACAAAAAATGATGTACATTGTTACATGGTACTCTATATCACTGACCGTAACTAAAGCAATATAAGGAAAAAAAATGGGACACGCCAAGAAAATAATTGATATACAAATGGAGAATAGCTGTATCGTGAAATCTCTTCATAATTCCCAAATTACATTTTGGAACTTATATTGAATTGACAGGACTAAGGAAAAAAAATGAAAACTATGTGGGGGGAACATTTCACCTAGTCAAAAGATTTGATGCCTCCAACGATGTGAGGCACTCCATTAGTTCATTAGCTAGAAGCAACCATCATTGTTCCGAGTACACTTGCCAATCTAACCTAGCCTAAGTTGTTTGGTGAAGTCCCTTCCAAAAAACAAGAAATCCTCTACCTTTAAGTTTCTCTTATGGATAGAAAATGCGCTAGTTCTTCGGTTCAATTAGATGCTAAAGTTGAAAATTTCTTACAAACCATCTTGATTGAACAAAAATAGTAGTTTCAACCAAAAAATTGAATCAAATAAAAACATAAAAGAACAAAAAGAAGATCTATCTCCAAGTCAATCCACGCCAGAGCTTAAAAACGTGTAACTCCAAGTCAATCCATATCATTAAAAACGAATGAAGATTTTGAAATACACGTCAGAGCTTAAAAAGGTATAACTTTGGGGCAATATGATCATTTTTCTAAAATCTCCAAGCGAAGAGAGCACAAATGTATAACTTTGAGGGTAATAGAGTTATTTTCAAAAATCTTCATACGGGAGAGCACAAGTACTCGCCCGTGAGAATTAAACACCGTTTTGGAAAATCGTGAACTTGTTTGGAGAAACTCAAAGGTAGAGGATGTCCATGGGAAAAGCAAAAATCCGTCCGTGGAAATTAAGTACCATTCGGAGAAAGTAAAATATTGTTCGGGGAAAGTAAAATACCGTTCGCAAAATACTAATTTGCGATCAAACCTTTCCTACAAGCATATCGAAGGCAAGTTTCATCCTTTAAGATTGCAAATTAAATTTTTCGTTTTGCTTCTAGCTGCAGTACCTCACGACACTGACCAACAATTCTTTTGATATAGCTGAGAAGACTAGTATTCTACCGTGCCCCTTAACGGGAGTTGACACTATAAAGCAACCGAAATTTTTTATGATTTAGACTTATAATGAACTTTAAAATTTTTAAAGCTTTGAACTTAAAAGATAAAATAAAATACGACTCATTTTGAATTTTAAAATGAATTGAAAACTCAAGCTTTTAAAATTTAGGCTCTTAAGGTTTAAAATATCAGGATGTTAGCATTTAATATTTAGACTCTTAAGGTTTTAAAAATTTTGAAGTTATGGGCTTTTAGCGAACTTTCAGACTTAGGCTCCTAATGATGAAAAATAATTCAAATATGAGGCTCTTGTAAAATTTTAAAATATTTCCACCATATTCACAATATACTTGCTAGTAGACAGAAGGGGGTCCCTCTTAAAGCCCAAAAATGTAATTTTGCATGTACTATGATAAAAATAATGATTGAATTCAAAAAATATCTTGAAAATATGTACAAGCAAACCACGATATTTCAAGTAATTGTGCAAGTGTTGTCAAGTTATATGCAAATGACTAAAACATCACATTATGCTTTAAAGGTCGTAAAACACTATGATCATATATCTATGCATAATATCAAAATTGAAAGCGTACATGTGCTCCAACCAATGTATTGGATGCTCAAATATTAGGTTCAAGAATGTTGCACGATCAAAACAGGTCGTCTTGTCTATAGAATAGAGTTGCAAGTCCCACCCAACTAGTTCGATCCTCCTCTTTGCAAGTAGTAGACTTGGCAAGTCTACTATATTCGAAATAAACGTTCAAATCCTAAAATAAAATTTATAAGTACAAATCACATAATCCGATCATCTTCCTTGCAAGGATAGAATCAACAAGACTTGTGCTACACTAATAAAATTAAATGCCCATTTAAATATAAAAGTCTAAAATGCATAAATCCCCAATGATGATTGAGTTGATAGAATATTTCAACCGAAATGGTTCATTTTCAAAATTAAATTTCAAAATCAATTTGAATAAATTCGAAAGATATATATGAGCTCGATCCTTTGTAAGCAAAACAAAGTTGACGAGGTTCATATATGATCACCTGTTAATACTAAATATGGTCATTTGCAAGCAAGGTGTAAAGTTGATAGGATTCAAATCAAGCAATAAAACCCCTATGATGGTGTAAATTTAGCAATGTTCAAATCAAGATTTTCAAAGTAATC